GTATTGTGTACCTCAAAGGCCAACCTCCAGCTCTTGCAGCCATAACAGAATGGAATCATTTTAGTGGATATACTTATTTTAATTTTTTGCATTCACATATTTTATGTCAGTTCTGGTGTGCATCTCATTTATGACACCTGAACAGCACAACCACCCCATAAAATATGGAGGGAGAAGGTCCTTCAGAGTAGGTGCTTGGGGTTCAGGTTGTTCTATCAATAAAAGAGTCGGGAATCCAAATCTGTGGCATGCTTGCTGTGGACAATGTGCTAGTACCTCAAATTCCATTACTCACATCTGGCAAGACACCTACTGGAGTCATTTCAAAATAGTTCCCTATTCACGACAAAGTCATTGACCTTGAAGACTCCGACCTTCACAAGCCCTCTATAAACATTTCTTAACACACTTTCACTGATCCATTCAGTATACTTTCACTCAATTCTGCATCCAGATAAGAAAATAACTACTATTATTTCATAAAGAAGTAAACACAGCTCTTTGTCTAATGAGATTCTCATTTGCTTTCCACCTAGAAGGCTGCCACTATTTGGAGGCGGGTCTGACCATCTGCCTGTCAGCCAGGCTACCACGGTGTTACATTACATATTTATGGCTCAGTCCAGAAAGGGAGGTTTGACTGTACTTCATTACAACAGGTGAAAGCTACTAAAATTTGCTTGGATCCCTTAGTACTGAGAATAATTCATGTCACACAAGGGTGGGAAATAAGCTGTTGTGTCTCTTGCTCAGGCATATTTCTCCTTTAACTGTTTCAGAATGACATATTCCTGGGATTCCCAAACAGTAAGAAGGATTGGAAAAAAAATTTTAAGCAACGCAAGTCAAGATTCAGAAGGATCTTCTGTGAATGGAACAAAAGGGTTTTTCTTCCTCTGATTTCTTTTCTTTAAAACACCATATTTACATATTACAAAAGGGATATAAAAACAGAAATCAAGGCAAAATTTTAAGATTTGGTGCAAAGAATAGATCTATTGCCCACAAAATACAAACTCTTCTAGTAATACAGATATTTCAGAAAGATTCAGAGCCACAGCATAATATCATCACTCATAGAGGGCAGCTCAACACTTGTTCTCAATTTACATGTACCGAAAGCTATAGAAATATCTAAGGTTCATGAAGGAAAAATAAAAATAAATACCTGCAATGTAGTTCTGCCATGAAGGCCTGGACAGCATTCAACGGTTGGATCTTTCTCTTACATTGTCATGAAACAAGGTAAAGTCTATATTGTATAAACACCAGCATTTTTTTTCCCTAGAAAGTATCTGGCAGTTGTGAAGAATTTACCAAATGCAATTCAATTGCAGCTTACAATGGTCCTCTACAACAAGGTTTGTTTTTCTTTTCCTTGACAGTGTTTTACTTTTGCATGCCAATTTTATCTCTGAAGATGAATGGAGCATTTCTCATTCAAATTACTCCTGTCTGAGCAAACATATCTAAGACTCAATAAAGAAGGGGATACTTTACTACGCTACACTCTGCAAAATAAGGAAGTTCTAGAATTCAGTTTGACGCTGTGGAAATGCAAGTATAGGGAATGGAATTAGGAAATCTCCCCCTCCAAAATGAGAAGAGTTTTGTGATTAATCAGCATTAATTCAATGGACTCTTCTTTTGACTGAAATCAGCAATTTTCATGCATTTTTTAAATCTTTCTTGAATTCTGAGGCTATATAGTCAGACTAAATGATCTGAAATTAAGAATACTGAGCTTTAGCATCATAAGTAATGAGTGGTGTTGGAAATGCCTACTAACCAGGTTGTAAACTTGCTTGTCTGCTCCTTACCAGGAAAGCAGATGATAACATAAAAACAACACAAAAAAATATCTTTTAGAACAATATCTTGATTTTAAAAAAGCAGATGAGTGCACTTGTGTTATCAGCTGTTATTAAACCTTCCCCTACTTGTTTCAGACAGCAGAGACCTTCAAGATTCAACCAGCCAGTGGCTTCCCTGTATGTCCTGAGACATCCCTCATGTGTGTTTGTGCCATACAGCTCAGGCAATTAAAATGCAAATGCTCTGATGAACTTACTGGTCTACCAAATCAACTACTCAAACGCCTGTTGAATTTGCAACATACCCCTATGAATATGCAGAATAACATTCTTCTCTTTGCATTAGGCCTTGAGTACTATGGAACTGGTTACCAGATACTAAAGGCTTTGCTTAGTCCTTCAGGAGGTTTCTGCATAGATTTAAGCATCCTCAGTATCAACAAACAATAGCCAACAAACTATGAAAGCCTGACAGTCAGTGTTAGATTGTGTCTTAGAGACGGTGACATAAGTGGTATCCTGTTCATACACCACTGTAGCCCATGAATCAATGGCACTGCTCAAAGAAGGAAGTCAGACCTTCCAACACATCTCAGCTTGTACGAACAACTGCACATAAGATGAAAGGGCTTATCAATTTAGAGATGCAAACAGGAAAAAAGCATCCAATTTATCATGGTAAGTTTCAGGAATGGTAATGTGAAATTGCATTAAATTAGTTATGTGATGTCAGATTCATCCTTAGATGATCACAGGGGCAGGTTAAAATAGTATATGTATTTTTGTTGATTAAGGTAATAAGAAAGACCCAAATGTGACTTATTCCAGAGGTGAAAATCATCCAGCTTCATTACAATAAGCAACATAGGTATCCACAATTGCAAAAAGGCACCACATAAATAAAGTACTTAAGGGTTGTTGCCTCCACCTTCTCCTTCTCATAGAATCACAGAATGGCTGAAGTGGGAAGGGATCTCTTGAGACCATGTAGTCCAAAACCCTAGTCAAGCAGGGTCACCTAGACTCAGGACTGTGCCCACCTGGATTTTGAGTATCTTCAGAGATAAAGACTCCACCACCACTTTGGGCTATCTCTTTCAGTGTTTGACCACTCCCACAGTAAAAAATGATTTTCTTGTGTTCTCCCCCTGAGCCTTCTCTTCTCCGGGTTGAACAGTGTCAGCTTTCTCAGCCTCTGCTCACATTAAAGATGCTCCAGTCCCTTCACTCTGTTCACGGCCCTTTGCTGGACACCCTCCAGTAAGTCAATGTCTTTCCTGTACTGGGGAGCCCAGATCTGGAAACAGCACTCCAGATTTGGTCTCACCAGTGCTGTGTAGAGGAGATCTTTATGCAACAAAAGTGATAATCAAGGCAAGACAGGGTCTGAGGAGTCAACTCAGTGATGAATTAAAACTACAAAGTGGAATATTTTATTTTATTATGACACCTCAACACAGAATGTTCATACAGTAAGTCCAAACGTAAGTTCTTTCATTGCACTGAGTTGATCTAAATTCACTCATATCTACAATCATCAGGATCCATGCCAGGAACTAAATATAATTAATCTGTTTCCATAAAAATATTCCACAAAAATCTACAACAATGAAGATAATGTTTCCAAAGTAATTGTCTCCAAATTATTTAATATTAATATGTCATATAATATCGCTACACTGCTAATCTTCACAGAG